GCCCGGAGTACCCACCGGTGGCGCCTGGCGCTAACGAGCACATGGTGTGGTGCTGGGAACCCGGGAGCTCGGCGCGCCTGGGGGCGGAGACCAGGCTGGGCGGCGCGTGCACGCGCGACCGCCACCAAGCTCTTTGGGCCTGTCCCAGGAACTGGCACAACCGCGAGCCCGAAGCAAGGCCCGGGCTCGGGGAGCCGCGCGGACGCCTGGAGACGCGGGGGCGCGCGCGCTGGCGAGCGAGAGCTTCCGGCTTCCACGCGCGGTGTGTCACGTGAGGCCAGTGGGCGGGGCGAGAACCTGGCTCCGCCTCCCCTTGCCGCAGGGCCGACGCAGTGCGCCCCAAGGAAGCGCCGTCACCGGGACTGGGCGTCGCAGGCCGCGGGTGACTGTTTTTTCCTCGGGCTGCCGCAGGCCTTCGCGGGAGGTCCCGGCCCGCGGCCACGAGCCCAGAGGTGGAGAGACGCCGCAGGGGTTTTGCTGTCGGCATCGTGTCCTCTGTGCGTCCCTTTTTCCGGGGATGAGCGGTTAGTGGAGCGGCGACCAGCCATGGCGCCCTCTGGTGGCGGAGGAGGCCGATCGCAGGCGAGGGCCTGGGGACTCCACTGTTTCCTGCACTCCCAGCTCCTGGGGTGGAAACTGCCTGGGTGGGTGTACTTTAGAGATAGATAGGGGCCAAAACTCCCAAAAGGATTTAATCTTTAATTAAAGGGTTAAGCGAGGTCTGGCACGGTAGCTCATGCCTGTAGCGCTAATACTTTGGGAAGCTGAGGCAGGAGAATCCCTTGAGGTCAGGAGTTCGAGACCAGCCTGGGCAACATTGGGAGACCCTGGCTCCACAAAAAGTAAAAATAGCCGGGTGTGGTGGCTCGTATCTGTGGTCTTGGGAGGCTGAGGTGGGAGGATGGCTCTCGCCCAGGAGTTTGAGGCTGCAGTGAGCTATAATCACACCACTACACTCCAGCCTGGGAGACAGAGCAAGACCCTGCCTCAAAAAAAAATAAGTAATAAAGGGGCTAAATGAGAACGGGAGTCGAGCCAGCCTACTGGGTTTGAATTCTACTTCTGTCCCTATGTAACTATATGACAAGTTACATGAGGTCGCTCTGCCTCAGTTTTCTCACCTGCAAAACAAGGATAATGACTGCACTAACCTCAAGACTACAGTAAGGATAAAATCACTGAATACATGTAAAGTGCTTGTGTTAACTTTATCCTAAACAACAGGAAATGGGTGAACTGTTCGTTTAAAGCAGGGAGTGATGCTGTCAGAGGCCTTTAAAGAGTAACATTCTGACCATGGTGTAGGGAGGAACATAATCATTCCCATGTCTCCTGCCACCTCCTCCCTTTCTTGGCATCCACTCAAACTATGGAGCTCTTGCTTAGATGCCAGTAGACAGCAATCATGTTGGTAGGCAGTGTCCTACACTCTAGTCCCAGAGGCCAGTACTTAGCTTAGCAACCATGGCCTAGTAGGCCCTGTGTAATTCTGTCTCTTTCCAACTCAACCTTTCACCCAGATCCCACCCTCAAGCCTTTTTTTTTGAGTCGGAGTATCACTGTTGCCCTGCTCACAGCCACCGCAGCCTCGACCTGTTGGGCTCAGGTGATCCTTCCACCTCAGCCTTCCAAATAGCTGGAACTACAGGAGTGCACCACCATACCCGGCTAATTTTTGATTTATTGTAGAGACGAGGTCTCACCAAGTTGCCTAGGCTGGTGTTGGACCCCTGGGCTCAGGCAATCCTCTCACCTCCACTTCCCAAAGTGCTGGGATTACAGGCATGAGCCACCATACCCGGCCTCAGACCTTTTATTTACTGCTAATCACCGAAAGCTCTACAAATGGGTAGGTCCCCCTTTTGGTCTCAACCAGAAAGGCTCTCCTCAGACTACTGCTAAAATAGTTTCTGCTGTTACTTCAGGAATACCTTGTTGGTTTCTTTCTTAGCATCTACCTTTTGCTTACTTTTTTAAAAAGGCCATGTCTCTTTTCTTTTTTTTTTTTTTTTTTTGAGACAGGATCTCACTATGTTGCCCAGACTGGAGTTCAGTAGCCATTCACAGGCACAATATTGCATACTACTGCCTCAAACTCCTGGGCTCAAAACGATCCTCCCACTTCAGCCTCCTGAGTAGCTGGGGCTAGAGACATGTGTCACACCAGGCTTCCTTACTTTCATTTCTCTGGCACATAATACATGGTCTGGTTCATAGTAGATACTTGATAGATTTACTGAATAAAAATGAAGCCTTGTATTATTGCTAAATTCTTCTGCATGTGTACCTGCCTGCTTTGCCCATAAACTTCTAGAGGATAGAACCTGTCAAATAGTTTTGAAGCCCCCTTACATTCTAGGACATTGCTAGACTATCATCTGGCTACCTTAAGTTGGACTTATTGTTCACTGGTGCATCCCCAGTGCCTGTGTGCTCAGTGGCACACAAGAGGCACTCACTGAACATTTGCTGAATGAATTGATGAGTTCTAGACTTTTCACTCAATTTCCTCAACTACAAAATGAGGATGATGACTGGACCCATCCAGCTTTTCCCTTCATCTTTCCAACATAAATTCTTTCTCTCTGCGTAACATTTGGAGGAAAACTTGCCAAATTCCTTAGTAACCAGCCACTAAATGTTGACAATAAGTCACAGCCAGACTGGAGGGATGACTAAGCCAGAATCTTGTCCCTTGAAGCTCGTATCTCATCACAGTGCAAGGCTCAAGAGGGGGCTGCTTTTCTCTCTACTCCAGAGATGGACACAGACCCTTCTCTGTCATCCCACTTCTCCACTGAGCCCAGAGTAGAATACTAAATGAGACTTGCCTGAAGGTTGTAAGCAAGGAAATAACCCGGAGAGAATGACTGAAAGCTGGTCACTGGGTCTGACTGTTTTTGGAGCCCACAGGCCTCAGCAGATGCTTATGGTATGCCCCCAACCCCCAAGGACTTTCTCACTTCTTGGAGCCCATGGCTTTTACCAACAGAACACACTCAGGCTCTTCAAGTTCAGCTCCAAGGGAACCCTTCCTGGCAGGAGGAAGAGACTCCATCTCCTTCCTAAGCCCACATTTGACGATCCCACCCTGCCCTACAGTAGGCCTCCTTTCTGGGTTACTCACACCAGGAGTGTCCACTCCCTTCCAAAGCTATCCACGCCCAACTAAAGGGGATGGTCTTTATCCCCCAGTGTTCACTGAAGCTTGGATGTACTTGACATACTGCAGATCTTGTGAAAACTGCCTGAATTTCTCCAATCACTTGCTTCCCCAGCACAGATGTCAAGACGCTTCCCACTCTCCTTTGCTCCATGATGGAAATCAACATTGTGTGCTTCTCTTGGTAGACCCTCCTTCTGCATCTTCCCTTCCTTCGCCTTAGTGCTTAGAGTGCAGCAGCTTGAGCCCTTTCATCGTGATAAGCATCCTAGACCAAAGGAGAAACCTAAGCACTTCAATTTTATTCATCTGTAACATATGCTAACAATTAACTGGAACTACCTGGAAACATACAGCTACTCCTGCAGAGTAGTTAAAAATACAAGCTATGAGATCAGCTATGAGATCAGGTTGACTCTGCCATTTCTTAGCTTCAAGTCTTCGGTTTTGGACCCTTGGGCGAGGGACTTGACTACAGTGTGCCTCAGGTTTCCTAGCTACAATAGGAAGATAATGGTAGTACTACTTTATAAGGATGGTTTGGAGGTTCAAACACAGATAACACATGTTCAGATTGGCACTTAGCAAGCATTTGATAAATATTAGCTGCTATTATATCATCCCTCTGACCAAAACGCTGCATATTACCCCAATACCTGGGCATTTTCAAACAATCTGAGAGATACCCAGGAGTTGTTTATTTTTATTCCTTTATTTAGTTGTCCTCTGAATTATATGAACTTAGTTACATAACTTCTATTATATATTCTAAAGAAGTAGTAAAGGCACAGTGTTTACTGACACAACTACATGTAACTAATTAGCACTTTTGTAACTCAGAGACATGAATGTCAACAATTTTAGAACAGAGAACATTTTAGAACATTTCCACAGAACATAATATTTTCACTGCTGCTGTGACTCTACAGACAAGAGTTTCAAAGCCAGCCTCCCAAGCAGTGGCATCAGAACCATGGAGGGGCAGTGGGGAGATTGTGTAAACAAAAGAAAACTAAAGATTCCTGTGCCCATACCCCAGAAATTATGATTCAGAAGGTTTGAGACAGGGCCTATGAACCTTTATTTTTCAAAAGCTCCCTGGGTGACCTGTCTGTATGAGCAGGCTCTGAACCAATGACACAGGGCACAATCATTTCTTGTTGGGATCTGAGTGGCTGAGAATAGTGAACAACAAAGTTAAAGCATGCTGATGTTTTAGACTCTGAAATTACCAGTTTGGTGGTGAGTGTTAAGGCTTCCAATAAAATGCATTTCTCCAGTGTGGTCATGGCTTGAGAGCACCATCGGCCTTCCCCAGGTCATGGATGGCCTTGTTCTCTAGAAGTTCTGTCTTCATGTTGCTTGGTCTCACTGCGTTGTTCAGCATTGCTCTAACCACAGTTGCCACGGGCACAGAGTGCCCACTGGCCCAAGATTCTGGTAAGGAGCCAAAGAACTTGCGAACTAACCATTCACTTGGGCGAGATTCTTGCCTATCACATAACAGAACTCTAAAGAGAAAAAGAAGAGATGGTGAACTGCATTCAGAATTAAGATTATGGACCAAACTGTATCCCCTCAAAAGCCATATGTTGTGTCTGAATTTGGAGATAGAGCCTTTAGGAAGGTAATTAAGATTTTTTTGTGTTTGTTTGAGTCAAGGTTTCACTCTGTTGCCTAGACTGGAGTGCAGTGGCACAATCACGGCTCACTGCAGTCTGCACAATCACGGCTCACTGCAGTCTCATCCTCCTGGGCTCAGGCAGTCCTTCTACCTCAGCCTCCTGAGTAGCTGGGACTACAGGCACATGCTGCCATGCCCAGCTAATTTTTTTATTTTTATTTTTTGTAGAGATGAGGTCTCGCTATGTTGCCCAGGCTGGTCTCAAACCCCTGGGCTCAAGCAATCCTCCTGCTTAGGCCTCCCAAAGTGCTGGGATTACAGGTGTGAGCCACTGTGCCCAGCCAGCTAATTAAGGTTAAGTGAGGTCATAAAGATGGGACGGGACTAAACCAATATGGCTGGCATCACTGTAGAAGGAAGAGACATCAGGGATCTCTCTGCACACATACAAAAGAAAGGCCATCTGCCAGGCAAGAAGAGAGGCCTCACCAGACACCAACCTGATGGTACCTTGATCTGGGACTTACAACCTCCAGACTGTGAGAAAATACATTTTTGTTGTTTAAGCCACCAAATCTGTGGTATTGTGTTACAGCGACTGAGCAAACTAGTAATACAGTGGATATAAGATTTTATTTGGTACATGAAGAGAATTTTCTTTTTTTGAGATGGTCTCACTCTATATTGCAGGTCGGTGTGCAGTGGTGCAGTCCTGGCTCACTGCAGCCTTGACCTCCTGGACTCACTTGATCCTCCCATCTCAACCTCTCGAGTAGCTGAGAGTACAGACATATGCCACCATACCTGGCTATTTTTAAAAATTTTTATTAGAGACAAGGCCTTGCTGTGCTGCCCAGGCTAGTCTCAAACTCCTGGGCTCAAGTAATCCTCCCATTTCAGCCTCCCAAAGTACTGGGATTACAGGCATGAGCCACGGCACCCAGCCCTAAGGATTTTTTTTAAAGACAGCAAATGCTATTCAGGAAGTTCCGAACTTTTGAGTCCAGCAAGGCATGCCCTTCAGAGAAGATATCCACCTCAGTCAGCCTCTCATGTCTTATATATTTTAGCTGTCACCCTCTCAAATGAGAAACCAGCTTCTAGGGACTAACTGACAGTGGTGTACCCTCAGACAGCATGAATACTGTACTTACCCAGGCCTAAATACAGAGTAACGATCAAACTTTAATTCTTGAACCCTGGCTTCAACTTCTCCCTATTAAGAAAAACACAAGTTCGATATTTAACCAAGACCAACTCATACATGTAAAGCTTAAGAGAGAATAATTTGGTTTTGAAGATAATCTGTGTCTGCAAGTCTCAATACTCGTACATATTACCTAGCATTTTAGATTCCAAAAAGTCTGGGAAGTTAAGGAATAAATCATTTAGTTTTGAGGTATAGTAGAGAGTTTGTAAACATTCATTGAATGAGCAGATGGCTGCACAGTCAGTTCTCTCGCTTTACTGATATTAACACAGGTCCAGAGAGAGTCAATGATATGTTAACTCAACCATAAAAGAATGTCCTCCTTCTAGTTCAGAATTCATGTTGCAGGTGAGCAGACACTAACTTTTTGGTTTACAGGTAGTTCCAGCGAGCCAGAAAACACAGACACCCCACTATACTCCTCATTTCACAACAAACCCCACATTTTAAGAGACAGTGAGATTACATCTAGAGGATGCTTTAAATCAAATTTGTTAAACAAACCACAGATTTTCATACCAGACATCTCTAGAAACTGAAATGTCAGAGAGGCTCAGACCACAGGCACCTCCAAAGGCCTTGTGAACTACCATTCCCACGAGGTACGCGCTCCTCCTCCTTGGCCTTTAACCTGTCATAACATAGAAGCTTAGGTGGCTATTTTTTTTTTTTTTTTTTGAGTTGGAGTCTCACTCTTTTGCCCTGGATGGAGTACAGTGGCACTCTCACAGCCACCACAGCCTTGACCTGCTGGGCTTAAGTGATCTTTCCGCCTCAGCCTTCCAAATAGCTGGAACTACAGGCACATGCCACAACGCCCGACTAACTTCTTGACTTATTGTAGAGATGAGGTTTCACCAAGTTGCCCAGGCTGGTCTCGAGCCCGTGGGCTCAGGTAATCCTCTTACCTTGGCCTTGCAAAGTGCTGAGATTATAGGCATGAGCCACCATGCCCAGCCTTAGGTAGCTATTTTTAAACATTTTATCAGTGGTTTGTGGCTTTACACAGAGTTGTGTAACCTTCATCACAATCAAAATTTAAAACATTTCATTACTCCAAAAATAAATTCCATGCCATTAACAGTCACTCCCTGTCCCCTCTCCACCGGACACTCAGTCAACCACTAGTCTACATGTGTCTCTATAAATTTGCCGGTTCTCAACATAACATATAAATGAAATCATACAATTTGTGGCCTTCTGTGACTGGTCCCTCTTACTTGGCATAATGTTTTCAAGGTTCACCCACGTGGTAATATGTATCATTCTATTTCATTTTATTATTTTTTAAGAATCAGGGTCTTGGTCTGTCACCCAAACTAGAGTACAGTGCCAAGATCATAGATCACTGTAGCCTTGCACTCCTGGGCTCAAGCAATCCTCCCTCCTCAGCCATCCAAGTAGCTGGGACTACAGGTAGATGCCACTATGCCTGGCTAAGTTTTTAAATTTATTTTTTCATTTTTTATAGAGATGGGGGTCTCACTGTGTTGCCCAAGCTGGTCTTGAACTTCTGGCATCAATCAATCCTCCCACCTTGGCCTCCCAAAGTGCTGAGATTAGATGCATGAGCCACCATGCCTGGCGGTATCATTTTTATAGCTGAACAATATTCATTTGGACATCTGGGTTGTTTCCACACTTTGACTATTAAGAATAATGCCTCTATAAACATTCATATGCAGTTTGTATTGGCCATACCTTGCTTGCTTTTTTATAAAGATGTGTTTTGTCTCTATTAGCAATGTGCATAAAACAGTTGACAGAGCAGGCTGAGACAGCTATCCTTAGGAAGGCCTGCTTGCAAGGTTGATCCCTAGCTTGTGCTTGAAAATTTGGACTGAGGGAGTGTTCCACCATTCCCTAACTGGTAAGGGTAGTTTACTGTTCCTAAACTGTTTGCTGAACACCTGCTTTTCTTCTGCAGGTCTGCGATTTTTGCTAAGCCAAGGGTGCCTACATGACTGACGCCTATAAAAACCCTGGACTCCAAGGCTCATGCGAGTTTCTCTGGTAGGCATCATCCATTAATGGAGAAATTAAGCACATCCTGAGTAAGCTCCACTGGGAGAGGCCTCTCGGAAGCTTGTACTTTTCTCCAGACTTCACTCCACATGCCTTTCCACTTCACTGATTTGACTTAATATCCTTTCATTGTGATAAATCACAGCTATGAATATGACTATAAGCTGAGTCCTGGGAAGCCTTCCTGTGAATTACCAAACTTGAGGATATCCCTGACAACCCCACGATGTAAGCAGATTAAAAATGCTGTGAGGTCAAGGACGATACTCAGTAATAAAATATCACATCCTCTGGAAAGTGTACCTTCCCCAACGCTCTTAGACACAGAGAACAGAGAACACAGGCCCATCCAGGACTCTGGGATCCACACCCCAACACTTGCCTCAGCATCAGCAGGGTGTCAGTAAAGGTATGTGATTGATCCAGGCCTCCCAGAGCTGGCCCACCATGAATGTAACTTTAAATTTCACCGAGGAGAATACATGTTCCTAAAGAATAAAGGAGTTTCTAAAATTGGGTGGGAGAGAAGAGTTCACACACAAGAAGGATGTGAGCCATAAGCAATAAATGCTGGGAATGCTACACACAGTAGCTGAAGGAGTATTCAGGAAGATCATCTTTCCAAATTCTAGAAGTAATTATGTATTGTTCAGCATTATTCTGAGATGGCCCATTTGGTTGTTGTTTCTGTCCTTTTAATCAATCTAATTGATAATCTCATGTTGCAGGCAAGAGAGGTCAACTTCAATGAACACAGGTCTCTTTCCATTTTACTGACCATTTGCTGCGGCCCTGTCATGGTCCAGGTGCTGTGCTGGGTGCTCTTGTATGTCTTAGTGACAAAGCCTATTCACTACATAGGAGCTGGCAGCACAGGCCCTGGACTCAGACTGCCTGGGTTCAAGTCCCAGTTTTGCTACGTAACGACTGGTGATCTTAATATCATGGTGCCTCAGTTTCCACACAAATGCATATGAAAGTCCTCAGAACACCACCTGACTCAATCAATGTTAGTTATTATTATTTTTTAAATCTGGTTGAACCATTATTATAACAAGATGAGCAGGAGTAGCACCTTTATCTTTACAGATGAGGAAATATTGTATATATATTTTCTTTCCTAAAAGGTACAAATGTTTATCTTGGTAATGAAAGCAAAAATCCTATTTGATAACTTTTGCCAGAACCTACATGTATAAGTAGTTTGAAAAACAGATTTTTTTCCTTTTAAGAATTGTTCTAAACTCTAACAATTAAACTGAAACTATTCCATTCTTGATTTAACTTCACTGGTGGCTCACTGATCTTTACCTGGTACAAAATACTATTTTAGCATAGGCAAGAGATGGCTCTGCTATAAGCCAGAACTAGAACTTTTCATTATCACAACTTGATCATGTGCCAGCAAAATGATAAAGACGTTTACTAAAATGGGAACAATCTTAAATCTCATTAAAAAAAAAAAACTGCCCAGAGTATGAAGGGTAGTAATCCCACTGCAGTTCCGGTGTGACATCATTGGAAAGCTCACCCTCAGCAAAGTGACCAGGGTGATGAAGGAGCTAGGAATAGAAACCAATAAAAAATGGTGCAAGGACTTAAAGGTGCTATGCCTGGGAAAAATACCATTAAGGCAGCCATAATCTCCAAATATCTTAGAGACTACAATGCCAGAGAAGGATTGGGCTTGTATCTCTTATTTTAAAAGGCAGAACTGATAACAATTAACATTTCTATAGCAATAGATTTCACCTCAAGGTGAGGATTTTTATCAAATGCATCTGACCAAAAATAAAGTTGGCTAATGAGATAGTAACTGCTCTAGTGCTGAAGGAATTTAAGCAGAAGCTGCATGAACTTCTGTAAAAGGATTTCACACTGGGAAAGTTTGGCTGAGACCCTAAGGCTTCCTTCCTTCCTTCCTTCCTTCCTTCCTTCCTTCCTTCCTTCCTTCCTTCCTTCCTTCCTCCCTTCCCTTCCTTTCCTTCCTTCCTTTCTCCTTTATTTTTTTACACCCATACTACTCAAACTATCCCAATGCCCTGCCATTCCACTTTTGGCACCCTTACATGGTATGACCCCTCTCCCTTATGCACAACCTCTAATGCCCACTAATTCTCCTCTAGTGCCCAAATTCCTCACATCAAACTATCCCTTTACCCCAATCGAATTTTCTCACATTGTTGACACAACCAAACTTTCCCCACCATAGCCACTTCCTGGTTTTACCCAGGCCCCCTCTTTATTTAGCCTCCTCTTCAAATCAAGCCCCTCTCCCACAAACCTAACCCCCTACCTAGCAGACCCAGACCCTTCCCACTACCCTAACTCATGCCTCCAGGTATCTAGATATTCTCCACATTAGTCACTTCTTCTGTGTACCAAGACATAATCTTCGATTCTAATCCCCTCTGGGATACCCAGATCCTCTCTTCACGTTGACTTAAAGTCCTCTTCTTCATACACAGCCATCCTAACTTATTCAGGGGTACCCACACCCTCTCTTTATAACCTAAGCCTCTCTTTGCAAAAAAGCCCATTGTAACCCATGACAGGGATGCCAAGGTACCTTCCTCACATGGACTTTAATCCTTCCATACATACCCACATACCCACATACCCTAACCCATTCCAGGGATACCCAGATGCTCCTTCTCATTATTAACCTCATCTTTTCTTGTTTGCAAAAAGACTCAATTCTACCCTAACCCATTCCAGGGATACTCAGACCCCTTTTTCATATCAACTTAACTGTTCTTTGCAAAAAGATCCCCACACACTAACCCAGTCCAAGGACATCAGACTACCCATCACAATAGCTTAAGCCCCTTTCACATAAACCTCTCCCACTGCCCAAATCCCCTTAGGGATACTCAGACTCCCTATCTCACGCAGAACCCCCACCACCACCCTAATTCAGTAGACAAACCCTCTTCCTCACACCCAAACCCCTCTCACCAGCCTACTACTCTGGAGAGACC